GCTCGATTCATCGGGACAAAAAAGAAACAGCTCGATGCATCAAGACTAAAAAGGCAGCTTAATCCATTTCCGTGAAGAGAATGAGATCGAATCGAATTACTGAGAAGTCGTTGGTCCTCTTCCTCTTCCATAACTCCCGTGCCTGTTTTTTTGCCCACCCTGATTTTTTTTTTTTTAATCGTTTTTCTTTTTTTTATTAAATGATTATTCATACATCGATTTTTTCGTGCGTGTCATCCCTGACAGCGCGCAGGGGCAATAGTGCTTACTCAACTACTTTGTTTTTTTTTCCCACTTTTCTTCTCGATTGCGTCGTTCCGATCTTACCGCATGTCCCAAAAGACTAGGTTCTATGAATCTTTGGAACTTGTCTGTTAGCGTATCCATTTTTTTTTTTTTTTTTTTTTTTTTTCCGTATCCATTTACGTGGGTCCTTGAGAGCTGCTCCGTAAAACCGTACGGACAAAAGGACACAGAAAGGACAAAAAACAACGGAGGAGTGCGAGAGACTGTCTAGAGAGAGAGAGAGAGAGAGAGAGAGAGAGAGAGATGTATATATATACGGAGAAAAGGTCGAGAGAAAGGTAAAATACATATGTATAATGTACATTTGTTATACACTATATACATTTGCTATATACTATATATAAATATATATGTGTATATGTGTATATCTATATAATTAGGAGAAAAGAGCAAAATAAAGGTGACAGAAGAAGGCAGGACCGGTGCGGTTACACCGTCACGGTTTATCTATCGGGCTACAAGCCACACACCAGCTGCATACCCGCATAGCGGCATAGCCAAGACAAGAAAAAAGGGAGGGAAAGGAAACTTCATGAAGACGCTTTTGCATTAATTGCACTTACTATTTCAGGAATGAGGAAGCTCCATTCGTCCCTTTTAGGAATGTTTAAAGGATTCACCGAAACGTGAACAATAAACGCACGTCGTTGGATTTGAAAACATACGTCTCGGCCATAATCGGGAATTTTCCTTGGGAAAAAAAAAAAAAAAAAAAAAGCACACAGTATTTGAGAACATATGTCTCGCTCATAATTTGGTTATGGAAAGACGATGACGAAGAGAGTAGAGTGGAGTGCACCCCGGATGTTATTTGTATTCTTGTGTGTGTGTGTGTGTGTGTGTGTGTGTGTGTGTGTGTGTGTGTGTGTGTGTGTGTGTGTGTGTGTGTGTG